TAAAGTTGTATTCGGAAATAATAAACCAGTTTTTATTAAGAAAGAACTTGTGTCGCTTAAGTTTCGTCGGAGACATAACAGTATTATGTATATACAGGGTGTCCCTAAAGTCTGGACACATAGGCAAAAATGCAGATTTTCAAGAAATGAAATTTTCAACAACATTTTATTCAATTGGAATGTTAACAAATAACATATTCAATATGATTTCCATCATTTGTGATGCAAAGGTTGATGCACTTTGCAAGATTCACGTGAACTCGATGCAATAACTCCACATTGCCGTCGATTTTAGCACATTCACTCTTTACGCGTTCAATCAAGTGTGTTGCATCTGTGATTTTCATTGAGTACACCTCCTCCTTTACCCAGAAAAAGAAGTCAAGGGGCTAAGGTCTGGTGAACGAGAAGACCACTCCACATGACCACGTCTTCCAATCCAGTTAGGGAAATTTTCATTCAGCCAATCTTTTACTACCGTAGCGAAGTGGGCAGGGGCGCCATCCTGTTGGAACCACTCAGGAAGTCCTTCACCTAGCCTTTCAAGTTTGGGCATTACCTGGTCTCTAAACATGCCGAGATAAGTCTCACCAGTTACATGTTCATCGAAGAAAAATGGCCCCAACACACGAGCTTTCCACAAACCACACCACACCATAATTTTTTGCACTCCTTGCTGTTTGGAATGATCCACCCAATGCGGATTGTTTTGCGACCAGTATCGAACATTCTGTCTGTTAACCTCACCATTCACATAAAACAAAGCCATATTTAATCTGTGGAGGTAAAAAAATATATAGTTAATGAGATTTCCTATGTGTCCAGACTTAAGGGACACCCTGTATGTATATCTTTTTCTTTACGCATTATTTTATTTTAGGCATTCTGTTCTCAGTAAATCTAATATATTTAATCGCAGCTATCCATGGAAAGAGAGCATAGTAATTGGTAAATGTTAGTCTGTTTGTTGTGAAGCACAAAATTACATAATGGGCTATATGTGCTGTACCCATTACGACATTCAAAACTCAATTCTTAGTGTTATAAGCCTCTAGACTGATCTCAGAGCCAGTGTGATCGCAGTGAATGCTATAATTATATTTTATACTGCATTTATAACATGTATATATCACTCATCTTTAATACTTTATTTACAAGGTATTTTCTAGAAACTTTAAATATAGAATTTAACATCATTTCTCGTTTGGTTATACTTTAACAACATATGTTTACACCTGCTATTAATACTAAAGTAACAATTGTAAGTAGACAGTGTAAGATGTTGGATACGTAATACATTCTGTCTTGAGGGGAATAGAAGAAAACTGAACACATTTTCTACTACAAACTACCACAAGCTCTTTTACAGCGAAGAATGTAATAACTGCTTTTACACGGGAAGGCGTAAAGAACCCAGTACTTGTTTCTTCACATATAAGAGTGGGGAACTCAATACTAGCTTTCTTATAGTACAGAGATGAATAGAACGATATTTGTTTTCTCATAGTGAAGAGGTGAAAAACCCGAAATTTGTTTTTTTCGCATTTAGGAATGAGGAACCCAATACGTACTTTCTCATTAAGTGTGAGGAATCCGGTACTTGGTTTCTCAGAGAGAGGTGTGAAGAGTCCATTATTTGGTCTCTCACAGTGAGGTGTGAAGAACAAAGTACTTTGTTTCTATGAGTGAAATGTGAGAAACTCAGTACTTGGTTTCACAAAGTGAGGTGTGAAGAGCCCAGTATTTGTTTTTCTGAATCAGCTGTGAAGAGCTTAGTGCTTGGTTTCTCATAGTGAGCTATGTAGAGGCCAGTATTTGGTTTCTAATAGTGATGTGTGGAAAGTCCAGTACTTGTTTCTACAGTGAGATGTGAATAACCCAATACTTGGTTTCTCACAGTAAGGGGTAAAGAACCTAGTAGTTGATTACTCGCAGTATAGTGTAAAGAATCCAGTAATCGGTCTCTGACAGTGATGTGTGAAGAATCCAGTAATTGGTTTCACACAGTGAGGTGTGAAGAGCTCAGTTCTCGGTTTCTCATAGTGAGGCGTGAAGAGCCCAGTATTTGGCTGTCATAGTGAGGTGTGAAAAGCCTAGTACTTGGTTTCCCAAAGTGGGTATGAAGAGCATAATTATTGGTTTCTCACTGAGAGGTGTGAAGATCCCAGTACTTTTTCTTCTAATAGTGAGGTGTGAAGAGCCCAATATTTGGTTTCTCACAATGAAATGTGAAAAGGGCAGTACTTGGTTTCTCATAGTGATTTGTAAAGAACCCAGTTCTTGGTTTCTCATCGTGATGCTTGAAGAACCCAATAATGGGTTTCTTAGCTTGACGTTTGAAGAACCCAATACTTGGTTTCTCATCGTGACGTCCAAAGAACACAGTACTTGGTTTCTCATTGTGAGGTGTGAAGAGCTCAGATCTCGGTTTCTCACAGTGAGGTGTGAAGAACCCAATACTTGGTTTCTCATCGTGAGATGAGAAGAACCCATTAGTTGATTCCCCATTGTGAGGTGTGAAGAACCCATTAGTTGGTTTCTCATTGTGACGTTTGGAACTGAATGAAGTGGGTGTTGGCTTTCTTGTGACAAAAAGTAGAGATCATCCAACACGGGGTCGGTCGATTTGACCGAGTCACGTGACCTTGTGTACTCGTTTAAAGTTTACATAAATTTAATACTTATAACTCTCTATATATTTGGTGTATTTCCACCAAATTTGGCAGTCTTTCAGTTAATATTACAAATATTTGACATACAAAAGTCATATTTCTTAGTGAAGTACTTTTACTAAAATAAAATAGTTTTGTCCATGAATATATTGAGTATTTGTTTTAAATAGTCCGTGTGCAAAGTAATTTTCATCTTAAAATTAAAAATAATTTTCGTCATCTCAAAAACCTCAAATTTCATTTATGTAATCCCTAAAACCTCTTAAATGCATTTCAAACGTTTTTTCCCACTAAATCCTTATATTATATATGTTACTTTCTCTACCCTAATCTCAAAACTGGATTGGTCAATTCGACCGACCTCGTAACCACCAAAAAAAATCGAAATTAATCTTCTTTTCTTTCTTGTATGACTTCAGATTGTAACCTGAAACAATATTTGTTTATCCTAAATGTCTCTAAGTTCTTAATATTATGCATCTATTTATAATTAAATTTTATTGTTTTATTGCCCTTTGAACCTTGTCTAACTGCTATCTGCGCCATTTTAAGTTGTGAATCACTCGGGGAACATGCAACTCACGTTACGCTATCGAATTACATTACCAACCAGCCGTCGAGTGCATGCTTCGTGAACAATTTTAATTATATTATTATTTATTTTACCTATTCTAGTCTTAAATAACTTAAAAAGATCCGTACTTTTAATTTAGTTACTTTTATAATAAAGAATAAATATGAAAAACAAGAAATAAAGTTATTACCCAATCTTATTTTTTTTCTTGCCCTCGATTGTCGAGTAGAGTTAAGCCTGATTTTTTAAGCGATTATGGTAAAGTATTTAACAATTTTTATTTACTTAAATAATACATCAAAGAACAAAGACTAATAACATGCAAAAAGTAGACAAATTCACTTACTTCTAAAAATTTTGCAGGCTTTCTAACTATGAGACAAAAGCCGTTACAAATTCATCCAAGCTAGTCGTTAACATTCCCACGGGAACAAAATTGCTACTCAAAGTGACATTGGCGGTTATCTGTTCAGAACACATTGCTATACATACGCCACTTGATAGATGAAAACCTTGACTTTCTATTGGTTATTAGTAATATATAATGAAACATAAGAGAGAACTATCAACCAATTGTGAAAGAGAGGATGTGACAGGTGGGTGTGGCAGGAGGGGTCTGATTTTCTCTTTGGTACCTCTGTAACAAAACAGAATTGAAGGCCATAAAAATTATGGTCTGTTTGAGCAATAATGATTTTATAAAGAGCATTTTACGTTTAATTTCTTACATTTTCGAGGGGTGATGGATAAAATAGGGATGATGACATGCTAAGACAAAATTTGTCATGCGTGTGTTACACTAGTGGAAATTCAGGATTTTTTTTATATATTTCCTTTTAGAATTAAAATTTTAAATCATGTATACTATTAAAATATGGATTATTAGTTAAGATTGTATGCTATTCTAATTGGTATAACATAAACAAAAAGTAGTTTAATAAAATTTTGAATGTAAGACACTAAAACCTTGTGTCATGCGCAGTAAAGGGTACCCGTGCCGAAAGAGATAAATGAAACGTTCTTAACATCGAGGGTACCCATCTAATGACTAATCTTTTTAACCGTAATTTGTTTTTACTGTAGCTTGTTCCACTGGTATATCAAATTAACTACTAAGATCATTGTTAATTTTGTTCTATGTATGTAACCTTTATTTTTTCAGAAAATTTTAACAGTTAGTTCATTAACTTACTACAAGTGACATCTATTTGAAATGTTTATCGATGCTTAGCTCATATTGTTGCAATTACTAATGTTAAAATAGTGAGTTGTTTAAGGTTTTTTGTCTGTGGTTTTTATTGAAAAACAATAAAACTTCAGCCTAATGAACACTGAACAGAAATTGAAGAGTGAGAACAGCTGAACTTTACAATAGCCTCTTGTCTCGCAATTCATTCAGAGAGACAGTCCTGTTATTGTCGCGTGCTGTTATTGAAGAAACGGTAATAATAATCACTACTTCGTCATTTCTTAAGGCTGCGTCGCCTAAGGAAAACAGGTCTATCTGTCAAAAGCGCTGGAGTTTTATCGTTTGTCCCTCCCCTTCTTTTGTGATTCACTGTTATCTGGTATATTAGTTTTAACACAGTGTTAAAGGAAATTCAATTTTAAATTTTCACTTTGAAGCTTTCATAATTTAGATACGAATTCATAATAGCTTGAAAAATATGATAGCTAATAAAACATTTCGCCTAAATCAAGTAAAATATAAACTTTATTGATACGGTACTTGGTGATGTTTTAAAGAAAAAAATAAATAAATTAGTTTAAACAACAATTGAAAGAAAGGAACTTGAAGATCATATTAATTTCTAAGTTACCATAGTCACAAAGAAAGGCTTCGTCAAAGAACAAATGTATAGAAATTTGTATTGTAATCGTGGTCGAAGTGCCAGGAACAACTGAAAGATGACGTAGTTGACAAGATAAATCTGTATACGTTCAACCATACAGGTGGTGAGCTGTAATATTAATGATGATATTTTAATCAGATAGAGGAAAACAAATTGACTAATACACGAATAGATGTGAGAAAACTAACATCCAAGTGTGGAAAACTTTGGAAGTATATACTTAATATAAAATTCATAAAGAGGATAAACCTTCATTAAAGTCATGAATGTTTACTATTATACATATTAGGTCGTCAAGAAATTAATGTCGCTTTTTTTTAGATGAAAAAACCCGA